GCATGTTCGTCGGCCGGCCGAAAAAAATTTGCGGCCGGAGCGACGTCGGGCCGAAAGAATTTTTCGGCCGGACGGCGCACCTGCCGCAAATGTTTTTCGGCCCGGCGGCGCACCGACCGCAAATTTTTTTCGGCCCGACGTCGCTCTGGCTGCAAATGTTTTTCGGCCGACCGACGCACCGGCCGCAAAATTCTTTCGGCCCGGCCAGTTTTTGTATTTAATTTAATTTAATAGGGCATCTCTTGCTTGTCTCACTGCTTCAGGACCTCTTTCTTCCACATCAACAGTAAGACACCTAAAGTGTTCTCGTTGAAGCTCAATTTCATCACTGAGTTGTTGTTGACGTGGGGGGTTTTTATAATCCAAAGTCCGCCAAAATACATGCAACTCTTGAGCATAGAATTGACGTCCTTCTTCCTTAGCTTGAACAATCTGGCAAGCACACTGGAGCCCATGTGTCATCTGAAAATGACACGCACAACTGTCCTTCAACTCCGCCGCCCCATCTAACATCAGTTTGATTGCCTCAGAACTAACGACCCTCCTCAAAAACGTGCACGGAGGCTCAATTGCCCTACTCAGATTGCGGTTCAGTGACTTGTGCAGTTCATTCACCACTTCTTGAAACTGATGTTCCATGTAGTTGTGGTTCTTCGCAAAACAAGTGTCGATCGCTCCTCTACCAGACACAAGGAAGTCTTGAATGAAGAGTGAGATGACTCAACTCTATTCAAGCTCGTGTTACCAAGATGAAACACATGGTTCGTGTAGCACTTTGCCCACATTGTCTGATGAGGCAACCACTCACCTCGCACGTAGTCGACCATTTTTATGTTCTTCTCTGTCCAGACCCTCTCAAACTCATCAATCTTTTGAAGAAAACCCTCCTGAGTCCAACTCCATGCAGCTTTTTCGAAATATTTCTTCCATACCGCTTGTGCTACCTCTCTTTTTGCAATTCCACCCAGTAATACTTCAAACTTTTGCTTCACACAGTTGTTGACGTGCCATAAACATAGTAGGTGGACAGTATGTGGGAGAGGGAAGACCACAGGAATAGAAGCAAGCAAACCACCTTCTTTGTCTGTCACAATGACATTCAGAACCGTATCACCGAGCAACCCTTTAATACATCGCAGCAGCCACTCATATGTTTCCTTTGTTTCCTGCTTAATAATTGCACATGCAATGTTGAAATTCTTCTTGACTGGAGTAACCCCAATAATCTCAACCCATGGCCAGCCGTACCTGTTGGTCTTGTAGGTCGAGTCAATGAGGATGACGTACGGCCATGCATGCAACATCTGAATGGACGTCGGGTGCGCAAAAAACAGATTAGTGAGCACATTATTAGAGTCCTTTTGCAAACAGATATGGTACCCACGATGTTCAGCTCCGTGAAGCGCAAACTGTATCACATCCATTTCACCCATCTCCTCCAATCTTGTCTTGGAATTTATGTTGTACATCTGTTTGATATCATGATGCACACCCCCTTCAGTATTGAGTGTCGTCTTCTGCTGATTTGGTCTCACCCCCGCCTTCCTCATTAATCTTAACCTCTCTTTTTCAGCCTCACTAAACTGTTTGTTGTGTCGGTGATGTTCTGGATACAACACCTTTTCATGGTTGTGAAACCCTCTATTAGCTCCGGTTTCACGACTTGTCACTCCCACTATGACCCATGTGTTTGGACCATCCTTTTGCCATACTTCCTTTATACATATCTGAAACTGGCAACCAGTACCCTTCGAACTAATATTCCCACGCGTCTCCTTCGTAGGGTCTGGTTTATAAGACTTAACGATCCTACTACTTCTGTCGCAATACATACAGAGGGCAGTAACATGATGTAGTCCAGCAGTATTCGGTTTCCATGCTCCTCTAACAATAAAGAACCCACACTCCTGAGCGATTGTTTTTGCAGCTAACTCAGCTAACTTCACACTTGCATAATGGATCCCATTCTCAAATTCTTGTGTGTAATCATGATTGGCCGGTAACAACTCTGACATTTTACCTACAATAACAATATAATACATCAAAATTCCTGTGAACCTAAACGCTAATTTCAAGTCTTAACCGCTAAATTCAACTCCTAAACTCTAAATTCAATTCTTACACGCTAAATTCAACTCCTAAACTCTAAATTCAACTCCTAAAATCGAATTTTTCCGAAAAATTCCAAAAACAGACGCCGGGCCGAAAAATTCCGGTGGCCGGAACCTGGCCGGGCCAAAAAATTCCGGTGGCTGGAACCTGGCCGGGCCGAAAAATTCCGGCGGCCGGAGCCAGGCTGAGCCGAAAATATCTTGTGGCTCAGCCTGGCTCCGGCCGCCGGAATTTTTTGGCCCGGCCAGGTTCCAGCCACCGGAATTTTTCGGCCCGGCCAGGTGCCGGTCGCCGGAATTTTTCGGCCCACCGTCTGTTCGTTTCAAATCGTCGGAAAAATTGTTCGAAACTACAAAAAAATTACGCACCTGCTTAGTGATGATTCATTGATGCGTGTACGCAGTATATGTCGAGGATAGGCTTTCCCGATGATTTTCCGGCGACTTTTCCGGCGAGCGTTGAATTTTTCTGATTCAATACGTTTTCTGAAAGTTGGATATGTTGTAGATTGTGAAACTCCTTAACCAAAGATGTATATATATACTTTTTTTTTTGGTTGGCGGCAAATAGCAATTTGGTTGGCGGCAAATAGCAAGCCCCTTTTTTAAACCCACCTTTACAACACATCGGAAATAAATTTGCTTTATATTATAATTTTGGACAATCTCCTGGGCCATTAAAATTTCAAGGATGCTTTCTACTCTGAATGAAAGCAGATTGGTTCCTACTAATGACTGAAGGCAGGACTGTTCTGAGCCTAATAGCTAAGAACTTAGCAACAATTTTATAGATTCGATTAATGAAGACAATAGGTCTGTTCGGATGAAGTCTATCCGCATTAGGAAGTTTTTCACTAATTTTCTTCAGAGTTCTATTGCTTTGCTTTTCAAAATATTTATAAAAAACAAGACATTTCAACCTCATAAAAGAGTTATTCAAGCCGCAAGATCGTCACTTTTGAGCAGTGAGATTTGAAAGTCCTTATGAAATATGATCTTCGTTAGCGACCAAGTAAATTTTGATTCTATACCATAGCAAATCAGTGATCTACAAAATGATATTAACGTTTTGATATATTTTAAGGAATTTTTTACTGCTAGGTACTATTCTTTACCTCCCTGTACCACCTTTGCTTTTAAATATTTGATTTTTTTGCACAGATGAAACTTGTTTATCATGATTTATAGAATTTAATATTTTTTTAAAAAAAATTGGTATAAAATATACCAAATTTGATCACCTTATAGCAGCGTGGTAGATGATGATAGACAGTGTTGTAAGGTGGTAGATGGTGGTTAGTATATCCTTACTTTCACGTATACAACATTCTACACTATAATATATTAATATCCCCATGATACAATTTCATAACACCATAATACAATCTTATGTACATGAATCCTTACCAACATGGTACACAGTGAGGAAAATGGTTGCCACACATCCACGGGTCAACTCGCAACAAGGTTCCCGAGTTGTAGGTCACATGATGTCGTTTTTCCTTTTGGGTTGCTCTTTTTGTTTTCTCCCTTCACCTAACTCCATATTTTGAATTCTATATTGAACATTTCACTATTCATATTAAATGAGTTCGTTTGAAATTTCACTTTTTGTAGGATCAAAGTACAAACCGTTATTTTGGTGTAATGTTATATGTTAGATGATGTTTGATATAATTTTTATATGCATGAACAATATAATGATTTTTTTTCCATATATCTTGGCTAAACCAGACTAAATCGATCATACCATTCACCCTCAATCCACTTGCTCGATTGGCGCAATGGGAGAACCATGTTGACAATCTTGATCAGTAATCATTGATAATTAAGGACAATTAATAATGAAGCAAAATGTGGGTAATCTCACGAACTTTATTGAATGTAAAGCAAAGAACAAAAATATGTTGATGGTAGCCACAGAACTCGGACGGATATCAACAAACCAATCGCCCAGGACCCTGATTTCCAGCTCCCATGATCAACGGTCTTACACTCTTACTAAACGAGCTGAACGCTCTCAACAACCCAAACCACTACTCAGGACCGAAATGTAACAAAACAAAAACCAGCAGACTAACTGTGAACTAAATCAAACAACACAGTAGACTGGCTCGACGCAGTATCAATAAAACAGTCTCTTTTGAACTTCGATCTTTTTCTTTTTTTTGGTAGAGTAACTTTGATCCTTTGGCGCCCAGCTTCACAAGGATTTCTTCCCCAACAGATACACCATGTTGCCTCAATGATATCAATAACAATTAACAAAGCAGTTTAAAATTACCCAAAAGACGTTTAATTAATAGTTGGAAGAACTAGCCTGAAAGGAGAGCCATATATTATTTGGTGCCGCCCAACTATGAATTAGAATATCTATACATATTGCATCAGGCTGATATAAAGGTTTAAAGTTGATACGGTTTTTCAATGATTGATCTTAGTATATTACATAGATGCAAATTATGATAAGTCAGAATATTTAGGATCCCCACCATCCTCTTAGATTATATATATTAGCTGCTTCTACGCATGCACCATCGTCACTTATCCTTCCCACAGGCCAATTCTCTAACCACGAAACTTTATATAAAAGTTGGCCACCTTCTTTTCGTCTCCTCCCTATTCGACTTTAATGCCAAATTTTCCGATGGCTCTGATTTTGCAAACACTTGGTTTTGAATTTTAGATAAGACTATATAATACACTTGCGTATTTTTTGCGACCAAATTTTTTCAGCCACTTGGACAAAGAAACAATAAGAAACAAAAAGCCGCCGGGAGGCACATTCAAAAAAAGACACCTTCATCATCATGATCAACAAACACTCTTATCTCTATGTACGTACGATACTCCTTCCTATATAAAAAGAAAAGCCCTATCTTAACCATTTCTATCATTCATTCACATCCCCAAAAATCAAAATTAAGACTGACAATGGCGCCTCCCTTTCACCTCCTCGCCGTCGCAATTACATTGACGGGAATAGTACTACTAGCCTTACCCACAGCGGCGCAGGACGCCCCTCAGGACTACCTCAACACCCACAACGGGGCCCGTGCCGCCGTCGGTGTGGGCCCCGTGACGTGGGACGGCAGGGTGGCAGCCTACGCCCAGTCCTACGCCAACCAGAGGGCCGCCGCCGACTGCAGCCTCGTCCACTCCGACGGGCCTTACGGCGAGAACATCGCGTGGGGGAGCGGGCAGCTGACCGGGATCGACGCGGTCAGGATGTGGGGGTCGGAGTGGGTGGATTACGACTACAACTCCAACACGTGCGCCCCGGGAAGGGACTGCGGCCATTACACCCAGATCGTATGGCGGAGCACCACCACCATCGGATGCGCCAAGGCGACTTGTAGCGGCGGCCGGGGCACTTTCGTCATTTGCAACTACAATCCTCCCGGCAATTGGATTGGCCAGAGACCTTATGCTATTGCAGTTTAGTTGTCGTCGCTCGGTTGGGCCAGCAAATTATATATATATATATATATATTATCGCATGCATGCATGTTGTTTGTTTTGGTATTTCAATATTGAAATTGTAAGAGGATGACAATGGTGAGGTCGGGATGGTACATCAGATCACCATACCCATCCTATTCGTAAGTGGTATTTGGATTTGGTATTTCGTTTTGAGTTATGGGTTGGCCAGGCAGGTCTAAGTCATGCAATTATGCATTTTATGAGAATAATAATGCTTATTATATTATTATTATTATTTTTTCCCCGCTAAATCTCAAGAAAAAAAATATGGCATGATAAATGAAGTTAAATATTAGTGAAAGGAGGCTCTCGCATAATTATAGTTTGATTAGAGCTAACATATGATCTAATAGAAGTAAAAACATAAATAATTGATTATAGATATACATCATGTTTGGAGAAAATAGAGTCTAGAATATGGTGGGTTAAGCCTGGTCATAGGAGATGATGGTCAGCATCGAGCGTTGAGGAACCCTCAAGATGAAGATTTGTGAGGAAGAGGAGGGAGAGCTCAAGGTCGAGGAGGCCGTGCTCGAAAACCTCTAGAACCTCGAGAATTTGGGGAGTATTACGAAGAGGAAGAGCTTCCCCCAATATAGAGAAGAAGAGAATGGGGGATTATTTCAAAGAGATGGAGACACTCATGATTCGATCTCACGTCAATGAAGATAAGGAAAAGACGATAGCCAGGTTTTTGAATGGTCTCAATTAAGACATCAAGCAAGTCGTAGAGATTCACCGTTACGTCTAATTGAGTATTTTTTTGCAGCTGGCGGCAAAGGTCAAGAAGCATTAAAAGAGAGGGTTTACAAGAAGGTCCTAAGCCTACACCATATGAAAACTCCTCAAACAATGGAGACAAGGCAATTAATAGTACTCGCTCGAAATCCATTATTTTTTCGATGCCAAGGTCGTGGTCATCTTTCTGATCAATGTCGAAGCAAGCGGACTATGATCTTGACGGAGAGAGTAAGAATTCGAGCCAGAAGAAGGGGAAGTCGATATTGAAGATGAAGCAGAGGAAGTCGAACTGCGGACAGTGCAAGGAAGATTTTCATACGTGGCTAGAAGGCTTTTGAGTGTGTAACAAAGGGATGAGATTGAGAAGCGAGAGAATTTGTTTCATACTCGCTACTTGGTCAATTGAAGGCTATGTTCGTTGGTCATCAATTGAGAAAGTTGTACTAACGTCGTTAGTTTGCATATGGTGTCGAAGGCCGAGCTGAAGACACTTAAACATCCACGTCCCTACACCTTGCATCAGTGGCGGACCTAGTAAAGGGCAGGGTGTGTCGTATGACACACCCTCGCTCGGAAATTTTGTGAAGTACCTATATATTTTTGGTATATTTTTTTTAATTCGGAACTTCCGACACACCTTAAATAATTATAAGCGACACACCTCATTATACGAGAATGATTTTCTTGTTATAAAGTTATTTATCTTAATTAGTAATACACAATAATAAGTAAATTCAAATAAGTTTCAAAGTTATTTATGCTTGTTTTAGAGTAACCCACACCACAACCTAGGGATGGCAATATGACGGGTTTGCCTAAACCAACCTCATCCCCATTTCCAAATATTCAAACTCATACTCGTATCATACCCATGCAGTGGAAGGTCTTACAAACTCATCCCCATACCTGCGGTTTTCGGATACCCATGGGTAATATCGCCCAAACAACTACTCACCATTAATAAAAGAATATGGTGACAAATATGGATACTACCCACCCAAAATTATAGAACTAATACATAAGAGGATGAAATTACGGTTTGGTTGTCATCAATTACATTTTATCACTTTATTTTTTCTTTTAATTACCCTTCATTCGATTGACAAGTTACAATACACTCCTTATATTTTATGTATATAACATAATATCCTTGGTGAGCGGGTTTGGGTATGGGTATGGGACGGGAGAGTCAAAAACCATACACACCCCATACCTAGTCAACGCAAAGATTCCCGCGCTGACTGGGCCGGAGGAGGTCAGGTACCCGCGACCATGGGTTTGGTTGTCATCCCTACCACAACCCAGCAATGGAAAAAATAAACATAACCCCATCCTTTGAAACTCACCGTTTCCACCCCTTGACCCATCCTTCATTGAAAATAAAAAACTCACCCTTACCCCGTTTTAGTTTCTAATTACTAAGAGCCACTACCACTTCTCCCTTTTCTTTTACCCTTTAGTTTTACTTGCTTTTGGAAGTTGGTGTTGACTTTACATGTTGCAATTGAAAGTTGCGAAAGATTTCAGCTGTGAAGATAATAAGGAATGAACTTTGAAATCGGTTGAGTGACCAATTTATGAATCATTGTTTAGTTGTGTATATCGAAAATGGTTTGCTTCGCAACATAAGCAATGAATGTATTTATAGATATTTCTAGTAAACATGAACTTTATGAATTAATTTACATGTTGCAATTGAAAGTTGCGAAAGATTTCAGCTGTGAAGATAATAAGGAATGAACTTTGAAATCGGTTGAGTGACCAATTTATGAATCATTGTTTAGTTGTGTATATCGAAAATGATTTGCTTCGCAACATAAGCAATGAATGTATTTATAGATATTTCTAGTAAACATGAACTTTATGAATTAAGTTATAGTAATTTTTATTAATTTTTAAATTATTATATTATTTTATCGGCGACACACCTCTCCGACAATTCTGGGTCTGCCACTGCCTTGCATTGGTTGAATGAATATGGGTTTTGTCGTAGAGGCCTATTCAGGTGAAACCCCAAGGCTTACATACTTGATTGTAAAAAAAAAAAAACAGATAAAGTATGTAAGACAATAACATATTTGCAACGTTAGAAATATATGTCATCACATTCTTTTTCTTTAAAAGGGCCTCTCGCCTTCGTAATTTCCTGTAGGATCATAATTGCAACTAATCAAAGTACCACCACCGGGGCACTTCACCTTGGCGCACCCGACCTCAAGCGTGTCTTTCCACACCACCTGAGTGTAATGGCCACAAATTTTTCCGGCAGCACAAGTATTGGATTTGTAGTCGTAATTTGCCTTCTCGTCGGCCCATAGCTCCACCGCCTTGACCCCAGAAAGATCACCTTCGCTATACGCCAAATTCTCCCCAAAAGGCCCGTCGGAGTGATGAATGTTGTTGCATCCCCCAGCTGCAAGTTCATTAGCATATGAGCTTGCGTAAAGCGCCAATGTAGGGCTCCATTTTAAAGGGCCAACACCGTCTGCGGCTCTGACCTTGTTGTGGGCCGCCAGAAAGTCCTCTGGCTTGTCTTGGGCAACGGAGAACGATGAGAGTGTAAGAGTTGCAATGAAGATAATTAGAATGAGAGAAATACAGTTTCCATTGCTAGGCACCATTGCCTTTTTCCTCACCTTTTTCAATTTATTTAGAAAACTTTGCAAAAATGTTCAATAACTTGGGAAAGGGATTGTCGAAAATTGAGGCTCGGTGTTGTATGTATATATATGCTGCTAATTATGGTGATATATTTAGGACTTAATGTTGTTGATTTGCGAGAAAAGAGAATGACCTAGTTCTATATTTAGTTTTTGTTCTTTATTAGAGAATTTTCTATGGTGGAAACTCATAGTAGGATTAGTTTTTATCCTATTAGTATGCATTCGATTGTTATCCTATTAGTATGGTTAATGCATAACTATCTTTGGGGTAAGTCGCTAGCATGTAGGGTGCTAATTAGTTTGGCGGTGGTTAGTGGTTAACCACTATATTAAAAAGTCTATATTGACACATGAACCACTATATTAAAAACCACCAATTATTGACCTACCAACTAGTTCAGTCATGATTAAGCAAACTGCCTCTTCCTTTCTTCTTTTTTTGATTGTTTGTTTTTTGTTATACTCAATATATCCTTATGTTGGATTCTTATCCCCTCGATGGTAGGCTTGTCAATTGAACCCGAATTCCGGGTGCCAGACCAAACCCGGCCCGGTTTGTGGCGGTTAAAACCCGGTCAAACGGATAGTTGACGGTTTGCGGGGAATTCGTTACCCGCTACAGCCGGTTGTCGGGCGGTGGTGGGTTTCTGAATATCCGCCCCGAAAGAACCCAAAAACCGCTTCCCTTCAAATCATCCACCCCACCCCAGTCCCTTGCTCATTTCGCGAAAACATCTCATCCCCTTACAAACCCTAGCGCCGCTCTAAAAAATCGAATCCCCAACCCTGTCCCTTCTTCTTCTCCTCAAATCTCGCATATGCTCTTCGGTTGTAGAGAAAAACGGCACACAATCATTACATTCATTGTTTTTAAGAGCAGATACCCAATCATTCAGAGCAAACCCTTTGATTTTTTCGAATTGAGCCATTCTCAATGGCGATTACAGCGCCATTTCCCCTTTATCGACTCTTCGAGTTCGATACCATCTTCTTTTTCCCCTTCATGCATGCGCCTATAAATACCTCACTTGAGTTTTTTTTCTCCAGATTGCCAGATTCTCAGAAAGCAGACCACTCTAGAGAGAAGTAGTAAGCTAGCAGCTGTCTGCAATCGCAATTTCCAGTCACTGGCTCACTGCATCTGCAAGGTGAAGGAGCACAACCGTAAGTGTTCTTCTTAGCCTTTCGTCTGGGATTTGCAAGATTTTTTTCAACAACTTGTCTCTTGTGACTTGTCTAATACCTCGGAACTTTGTTGATTGATGTTAGGGTTTCTGGTGGCGGGGTTGTCATTGATCAGTAACGAAGCTTAGAAAGGTAATACTACTTGATTCTCCTAGTTCTTTCAGGTTTCAAGGAATTTAGCAGTGACTGATTGGTTTCATTGGTTTATTTTCTCGGGTGATTGCAGGTAATTTATGGAAGGAGTTGAATTCTCCCCCGCCCCCAACTCTCAATCCCCACTCCCACCCCCCAATCCTCAGCCCCTGCCTGAACAGCATCAACCAGTGATTGCCGTTAATGCACCAGCAGCTGTGAATGGCAATGCTGATACTAGTGCTGATGGTGGTAGTGAGTCAGAGCCCTCTCCCCTGCCTTTTGGGGCCAAACGTCCACTGAAAAGTGATGTTTGGCCTCACTTTACAAGGTTTGTGGATAAAGATGGTGTAATGAAAGCACGATGCAAGTACTGTCGAAAGGTTCTTGGTGGTGACACCAGCAATGGTACCTCTAATTTGAGGAACCATAAAAAGGTGTGTGTTCAGAAACAAATTCACGATGGTAATCAGAAAAACATTGCCACTAATTTCCTCCCTAATGGTTTGACTGGAAAGAAAGAACTGTGTACCGGTCAGTTCAATGTAGAGGTTTCAAGGAGGGAACTTGCCAATATGGTTTTGATGCACGAGTATCCACTTGGTATGGTGGATCACTTGTATTTCAAAAAAATTTGCAATTCTCTGCAGCCCTTGTTCAAAGTTCCCTGTAGAAACACTTGCAAGAGTGATATTCTTGCCTTTTATGCGATTGAGAGGAAAAAGATTCAAAAAATGATTGATGGTAACAAAGGTAGAATTGCTGTCACAACTTACATGTGGACAGCAAGTAATCAGAAGAGGGCTTACATGGCTGTAACGTCTCATTATGTTGACAACAATTGGAACCTTAGGAGCCACTTGTCAAGGTAAATTGCTTATTCAATTTGTTCTTTCTTTGATGTTTATTTGTTTAACACTTAACAGAAACTGACTTCGAGCTTCATTTTATGTTTGTGTGAGTGTATGACAGGTTTCTCTATGTTCCTGCCCCCCATACTAGTGAGAAACTTGCAAGTGTGCTCCGAGAGGCCCTAATGTCCTGGATTGTGGACTGTAAGTTATCCACTATAACTCTTGACAACTGTTCTACAAATGATGCCATGATTGAAAAGATTAAAAGGAAAATGGTTATGTCTGACTTTCTATTGAATGGTTCCTTCCTGCAAATGAGATGTTCGGCTAACATTCTTAACTTAATTGTTAAAGATGGGCTTGAAATTATAAAAGATGGGATTGAAAAGATAAGGGAAAGTGTGGTGTATTGGACTGCAACTTCTAGGAGACTTGAGTTCTTTGAAGAGACTGCTAGGCAAAAGAATGTTTGTATTGGAAAGAAACTTGCACTTGACTGCCCTACTAGGTGGAATTCCACCTTGCATATGCTTGAATCTGCAATTCCATACAAGAAAGTGTTCACTCGTTTGAATCAGAGAGAACCTAACTATACTTCCTTGCCTAGCAGTGATGATTGGATGTTTGCTACTGTTATTAGCAAAAAGCTTGAGGTTTTCAGAAATATTTATGAGCTTCTTTCTGGAAGCAATTATCCTACTGCTAATATATTCTTTCGAAGGATATGTGACTTGAAATTGAATGTGCTTGAGTGGATGACTGATCCTGATAGCATCATTTGTGAAATGGCCGAAAAAATGTGGGCCAAGTTTAGCAAATACTGGACTGATATCCATGTATTGCTCACTGTCGCTGTTGTTCTTGATCCTGCATACAAACTTGAGCTGATTCATTACTATTATGATAAGAGCAATGGCTCTGATCCTACTCTTGATCCTGTGACTGTTAAGGCCACTGTTTATGATGTTGTCCGTGAGTATCAGTTGAAACAAAAGGGCAGAGATGACCATTCTGCCTCCTCTGGTTCTGTTAATGGTGTTAAGGCCAATTCTGGTGACCTTGACTTCGAGATTTATTTAAGCCGAAGGAAAAGGTCCAAAACAGTTTCACTATGCTCTGAATTGGATCATTATCTCTGTGAGGACGTTAGTCCTCGAAGTTCAAACGTTGGGGTTTTGGATTGGTGGAGGATGAATGCTGAAAAATACCCACTTTTGCAAGAGGTGGCAAGAGATTTGCTTGCTGTACCAGTGACCTCTGTGGCCTCTGAGTCAGCCTTCAGCTCTGGTGGTAGGCTGCTAGATCCTCACCGAAGTAGGCTGCACTTTGAAACTGTCGAGACACTCATGTGCACCCGTAGCTGGATTCAGAGTGACATTTGCAAAGGTAAGAGCTCTTATTTTTGTTATTTCCCGGTCTGTTTTAATTTCAAATATTCGAAAGTTTTGTTAACTATACTCTGCTTGAATATGCAGATGTTGTAAAGGCTGACATTCAAGGTTTGGAGACTTGCTTCTCTGCGATGACAATGGAGGATCCAAGTTGTGAAGAGTTTAAGAAAGAAGGTACTTGTGCTCTGTTTTATTATTATGAACAATTATCTTCAGTTAGTTGTTAAGTTAGTAGTTAACAAGTACTTTAAATTGCCACAGATTTTCAAGGTAGCCAGAGTCGTACACTCTTGGACATTGAAGATTGAAGTGTGCTGCTGGGCTGCTGGATTTTGTTTGCTGACTGATTGCTTGATGATGGTGCTGCTCAATAAGACTGAAGGGTGAAAAGAACTACTGCTGCTCTTTTTTTTTTGTTTGGTTCAATTTGGAACTTGTTTTATTTCGTTTGGTTTATGGCTATATGCCTTTATGGATGTTGGAATCCAATTTCGAACATGTTTTCTTTTGTTTGGATGATGAATTATTGATGTCTGGTTGCTGGATTTTGCAAGTTGGTGGATTTCATCTGCAATTTATGCAGTTTTTCAGTTTCAATTTGACTGTAGTGTCTCTGCTTTTTTGTTGGATTCAGCAGATTTGATTTGTGTCGGGTAAACCCGGTATAACGGGTTCTAACCCGTTACCCGTTGGTTTTGGGGGTGGGCCTAAAAAAAGCCCGGTAGTGCTAACGGGGCGGATTCGGGAAAAATCCGATATATTTTCGGCAGGTGACGGATGGGCCTGCCCCGGCCCGATCCGCCCCGTTGCCAAGCCTACTCGATGGTGAAGCCGAGGGTGTCTAAAGTAGGGGTGGACAACGGGAAACAGATATTTGGGTATACCCAAACCCATCCCCATTTTTTGAGAGTTACGGGTACCCAAATACCCGTTATATTCATTTCGGGATGGGACTTGGGATTATGAATTTCAATATCGGATACCGGGTTACCCGCCAATACCCGTTTGGATAGTATGAGGACTCGTATTACCCATTAGGATTTATTCAATTAGCTCAAATGTGATTCTGAAAGACTGAACATACATACTGTATGACTAGATAACATCAATCTGATTTCTAGCTTAACTGCTCATCCATTCTCATCGATTGGTTGAATGATGATTTGGTGGGATTTTTTTATATTATGGGGACAGTGGGTTATTATGGGGACTGCAGCTTATGGGCAGTGGATTTTGTTATTATGCTCATCCATTTAAGGTCTTATGATAATTGCAGATATCAGCAGTGGTTTATTATGGGACAACAACTTATGGTATTAGTAGCTCAAACTTTATTATTTTGTTGTTCAAACTCAGTTACATTAGCTTAATTTTGTAATTTTGTTGTTCAAACTTCATTTTCAAGTACAAGGAGCTTATGCCTTATGAGGATAATATGTCATTTTGTTTCAAGTGTAATTTTATTTCCAA